TTTTCCTCATCTACATCTTCTAGCGTGGCGTTGCTTAAATTACTTGGAGATAGTTCATTTTCATCATGAGAGGCACATTTCCTGAGCTCTCCCTGGGTATCATCAGGTCCTTTAAAAATATCATGGTATTAAAAAAAGGCCATTTCACAATTTTGGACCTTCCTTGACCACTTTTGGTTTCAGTATCCGTTTTTAGTTTCCTTCTAAATGTGTCTCTAAGATTTTCCCATGCTTTACGAGCCAGTTCACATAAAATACAAAACAGTTGTTACATGTCCTTTTTTCTGATAATAATTTATTTGTAAATTTAGTGTAGAAACAAGTTTATTTATTTATCAGTTATTTTTAATGTTAAAAAAATGTTATAAAAGTTAAATTGGTTTTTTGTTTTATCGATTAGGTATTTAGAGACTGGATTATCATTTCGATCCCTGGGTTTAACGTTTCGAATTAATGATTACACAGTTGGTAAATGTGTTTCATTAGTTGTGGATGCGATATAGAATAATTTCTACCAGCAACAAGTGCCTGTTCCCGACCACAGAATGTTAGTAGAAATAACTACAGGATTTCAGGAGCGGTGGAATTTTCCTAAGGCCGTTGGAAGTCTTGATGGCAAGCACATTCGAATTCTATGCCCGAAAAAAAGTGGAACTATGTTTTAGAACTACAAAAACTTTTTTTCAATAGTGCTACAAGCTGTTGAGGATCACCGATGTCGATTTATTTTTGTGGATGTAGGAGGATATGGGAGACAAAGTTATGGAGGAACTTTTTCCGCTTCTTCTTTATCTACATTTTTGGAAAATTGTCATACTAATTTACCACCATCATCACATATCGAAGGAATTGCTACAGATATGCCATTCGTAATACTTGTAGACGATGCATACCCACTAAAGACCTTTATAATGAAACCGTACTCAAGATGCAATCTATCACATGAAGAGAAAATCTTTAACTACAGGCTATCGAGGGCTAGGAGATGTGTGGAGTGTGCTTTTGGTATTATGACAGCCAATTGGCGTTTGCTTGGAAAATGTATAGAAACTAATGTTTTCAAAGCAGAGAGAATTGTGAAATGTATCTGCTTACTTCACAATATAGTTATTGACCGTGATGGCGGTGAATTCAGTTCCGCGACGTTGCAACAATCTTTGAATGAATCACCCCTTCAAGTCCTACTTCAATGGAGTCGGCGCTGTACCATGGCAAAACGAAAGCATCCAGTAAAAATAAAAATAATATTATTATTTAATTTAAAAAATGTTGTGATTTTATTTTATAATAGTTTATAAATATTATGTTTGTATTAGTGTAAGAGTAAAATGCTTAAATATACAAAGTTGATTAACTACAATTATTAATATTTGTCTAGAATGATTTGATATGTCCTTAGGTACTAGTTGTAATATTTAATCAATTCAAATAAATAGTTTTTATTTTCTCTTCAATACTTTATCGAATTTTAACATGTTGAATAATATTGGATTATATTATAATTTATTACCCTCACACCATTGATATTAAATTAGATAAAACTAAAAATAAAACATACTTGCTCACTACTATCTCTATAATTATCAAACACAAACAAATTATTTACAAGCGTATTTAAATAATATATGGGTTTTCCATACATCGTTCACATACGGTGACGACATAAGATTCTATTTCCGTGCGTAGAGGCACATGATATTTTGATGAATACGATGCTTATAGTACCATTTAGTAACTTATTATTTAGTAGTTAGTAGTTATTTATTAGTTGGTATTATTTCGTTAAATATATTATTACCTGAAATTTGTTGAAGTTGCGTTCCAATTGATTCCCACAACTCAAATTTGATGTCACGATTGTGGTAAGCTTTCACCCTCTGGTCCCATAGACGAGGTTCATCTCTCACAAGCTGTATTAACAACTCCTTATCAATTTCTCCCGTCATTTTTTAAAAATTTGGTTAATATTTAACTTAATAAACAGCAAGTTTTAACTTTAGTACTTTACTAACAACGCGTCGGATTAGAAACGTCGGACTGGAACCAAATATGATCGATCGGCCGTCAAATCGGATAGTGTCGTGAGTCGTCGGGAATCGAGAAATTGGAAGCTTCGTTTCAATTGTAGACACTAACATTAAGATAAAGATGTTTGTTTTTCTTCCCACGTCGTCCGACCATCGGACAACGTCGGATCGGATCGGATCGGGATAAATGCGGACCTAATGTAGGTGCGGCCTTACACATCATGTAATTTTTCTTGCATGTGCACTTTTTTGATGTGCAATTCGTACGGCAGGTACAACGTCGATATCTTTGTCCGGTTAATTAATCGAACGAGTTCCCGTAAAGTATATTCATTTTTTAAATTTTGAACGTCTGCAGTTGTTAGGGAACAATACTTTGTAGCAGCCAAACTGTTCCGCTCCAGCCATGTGCTCAGAATCCCTTCTTTTGTCGCAATACGAAATTTGCCATCATTTTCTTCTATTATAACTGAAAGAAGGTTGGCTGCATCTAATCGCCCTCGATCCACCGACGGAATTGGCACCAGAACATTGTCACCAACTTTAAAGGGAGAGAGGATGCTTTTCCCCTGGTTACCATCCTGTCGGCTTGAGATTTTAAATTTTGTATTGCAATGTTGCCTCGTGTTAGAGCTGGATGGTCGAAAATTACCCCTTCAGTGTTCTATACAAAAAAATAATTAAAAAATAATTAATACCTTATTAATTTAAAAAAAAAACCGATTTACTTAGTCGGTGTCACATTCAATCTCCAAAATGTTTCGTGTGGTCTTTATCAAATTATCAAGTTTTTGCTGTACTCCATTTTCGGGCGTAACATGTAGCGAGCAAGCAAGCAGTATTGATTTCTAGTAGTTCAGCTTCATGCGTACCCTCTAAATCATTTGTCTATAAAAGTTATTTAATTAATTAATACAATTATTAATTATCATATACGAGTATACCATTGTTATAATTATAATATATTCTATACAACATTTATAAATATGATGATAAGTATTAAATTAATAAAACCAATTAAATTTATTAGTCGAAAACGCACTTACCCCACCTAATCATACATATTATAAAAGATTTTTGAATTATTATTAGGTAAATGTTAAATTAAAATTGGTTAAATAAAAAATACAATTCCTACAATCTTAATTTTACTCACTTCAATATTGAGTACTTCCACGTCTTCATCGTTCCGATATTCTGGAGTGGTATGAGTAGATATTGTAGTCGGTGTATACTAGTTGTGGTCAAAATCAAAAAATACGTACTAGTTGCGGTCACCCAACAAAAATGTTACGTACCTACTAGTTGCGATCACTCAAAAACAGTATATATAGTATCAACATTTTCTTTCTCATTTATAACGAAAAGATAACAGACTTAGGACTGTCTACACTCCTATTTATTGTGTAGGTATGGTTAAAAATGTTGGTACTTGGTTTTATGGTTAACCATATGGTTTTATGTCAAATAATATAATATCATTTTGTTTAATTAAATTTTTTTTAATTTTGTGGGTACAAATTTGAAAGAAATCGACTTCACATATTCAAGTCGATTAATTTCAGCCTGTTCATAATAGCGTATTTGTTGCACTAAACATTTTTCTTTCTCTGTCGAAATCTTATTAGCACGAACTTTGTTTGAACAATTCATTTTCAAATAATTATTATTCTGAAAAATTGTTTAAAAGGAAAATTACAACTTGAAAAAGTTCCGTCCATAAAAATCGAATCACATTGTTTGAAAAAATCAATTTTCATCTGAGTCGTAAACACATTATATTGTTCTGAACATCGTTTATAAAAATCCAATTTTCATTATTTTTGGTTCGCATTTTAGTAAGTACGTTAGGAAGCGTCAAATGTAATTCCGAAGTCAAACGGCAACTTGGGGTGAATATTCATTCGTGTAGTGTGTATATTTTTTCTAATCAATGTGACGTCATTTGAGTTTAGTACACTAAGTACTGTACTCGACATCTCAGAATGAATAATTTTTTAGGGAAGCTCGCTCAACTGCTCCACTGCCTTACGTTTAACACTATTACTAACCTTTTGCCGTAACATTGATTTGTGTTCATCTGGTTCGTGATAATGTGTTGTATTCTGTTCACGAATGGCACCGTTAACTTCATATTTTATAGCCGCATTACATGTTTTTACAACATACCCATCATTGGACATCATTCACTAATGTACGATAGTAGCGAAATTTATATCCTTTTACAATTCAAAGTGGTTTTAATTTTTCACTCAACATATTATTGTGCGAACTCATTTTTACCGCGTCGAAAAACGTAGGCATACTGAATGTAATATTCAAAACTACGGTTAGACTCTACAATTTTATCTTTTTATGTATACATTTCAGAGATAAATAGTGGTATTCCCATATATATATACAATATGACCGCAACTAAGATATTACCTACAATCGGCGTGACCGCAACTGTTATATGTGCATATCTTAAAAATCGTCGTCGACTGAAACTCGGATGCAGCCATTGTAGTAGGTGTATAGTCTGTTCATTTTAAGAAGCGATTCAGGCGGCCAACTTGTGCGCATGGGCGTGACCTCGTAGATCTCGTTTGTCTTAATAATTACCGCCGACGGGAGCGACGCATTAGTCTAGTGTTTATTGCTTACGTGTACACATAATTTAAAATGTATGGCAACGACTCCGGTGCGGTGTGTTATCAGTTTTCACGTATTTGGTTCGCACGTCGACCTACCGCGCTATGTATTAAAATATTATACGAAAGAAAAACTATTAAAACTTCCAAATATTTTACAACATTTTATTAACATTAATTAATTAGTTTTTATGTCACATAATAACAAAAACAATGTACAAAAAGCTAATTAAAAAAAACTCAAACACTAACGTCAACAAAATAGGCAAATAAAAAAATTTAACAAATTACAAAATACAAATTATTTACAGGTAGGTAGTGTTACAATTTTTACAGATATTTACAAATCAGAATCATCCGAAGATGTTTCATTTGAAACCGTCAATATACATGGCTCTAATTGGTCGATGATCTCGTCCATAATGTCGTCAACTTTCATTATTTTCTCTTCTTCTTCAATCACGTGTCGAATGAAGTTTTCCCAGTTCTCTTTTGTTACTCGTTCAATTGCTGTGTTCAGTAGCTGACGGACATCATCGAGTTTGTACGTTGTATTGTTGGATTTTACATACTTTTTAACCATAGCCCATGCGAGTTCGATCGGATTGAACTCGCAATGGTAAGGTGGAAGTCTAAGCACTGTATGACCCGCGGCTTTTGCTATATTGTCAATGATGTATGAAGAATACTTGCTTTTAATTTCACGTACCATCTGCAACAGTTCAGCCCTTTTCATCGGTCTCTCGGGAATTGCGCCTTTTGAAATAAGCCATTCCAAAATGTCGGCCTTTTTGGAATTTGATGTTGGTATTTTTTCCGCTTTGACTGAATGGTATGGCGCATTATCTAACACAATAATGGAATTTGGTTCAAGTCGAGGAAGAACAGACTCAAACCATTCTTGGAAACAATCACCATTCATTTCGTCATGATAGTCTGAGCTGTTCTTCTTCGACTCAAAACATAACAATCCACCGGGCAAAAATCCATTGTTAGATCCAATATGAACCACAATTAAGCGCTTGCCCTTACCGGTCGGATTTTTGGATCCCGTGGTTAGGCCTTTATTAAATGCGTCTCGATTAGATGTGATTGTTGTATCCACCCATACATGCTCAACGCAGTCACCAGCATTCAACCAAGTCTCATCTAGGTAATAAACTGTACGACCTTCCTTACGGTACTTACGTATGTCGTACAAATAACGTTGTCGCCAGGCAATCAGGTCATTACGTTCTGTTAGCACGCTACATCGTTTGCGTTTGGTAAATACAAAATTCAATTTTTTTATCACCTTGAACAAAGTCGTACGTTTGAAATTTGGTAAAGATGGATTTTCATTCACAGCCGTAAGGATTTTATCAATGGTTGGTAGTTCGCGTCGTAACCAGAATGAATGTATTGTTTGACGAATACCATTTCGATCCATATCGTCAATTTTATGGAACAACGTAGTTCTTATGCGTTTTGTTTGAGGAGAAGAAACATGTCCTGTTTTCCTGTATTCTGAAATGGTATTTATGATGGTTTCACGGCCTATACCTGAGACTGTTGATATTTCGGAAATCATAGGTCTGTACTGAATGTCTGGAGATTTTGAGACGACGTCCTTGTAGATATTAATAATAATCTCCTTTTGACGACTTCTGACATACTGAAAGGAATTTTAAAACATTAAGTATACATTTACAGAACAATAATGATCAAATTCTGTACTTTCTGTTAAGTTTATTTCTAATAAAGTTTTAAATATGGGTGCATATTGCATCTGCCCGGTTGCCCGGTGCGCCAGTACGGGCCTGATCAAATTGGTATTAAAAAATAATTACTTACTTTTCCCTTCTTGTTTTTTCTCTTTGGAGAAATGATTGACGTTGCGTTGATATCAGATATACCAGGTATACCAGATACATTTGAATTGCTCATGGTAATGTCAAGCAGATGTAAAAAATAATAGTATAACACAAACGAAGACTGAACGAATAATTTTTATATTATTTGTAAATTTAATGGTTGCGCGCGGCAGCTAGTACGTATATTAGGTAAGGTCGACACAGAGAGTGAAGCACAAATGCGAGGTTATAAGGTATGTGGCATGTGCTGACAGCTGCGGATGTAAATCGTGCTGTATTGTCCAGCAGATGTTTGTATTTAACGGACACACATTCCATGGAAGCGCCCTAAATGTGAGGTGTATGTACGCATGACGCACGCACGCACATACACCTAACGCGGTGCACATAACGAACGCTCGCACAGGTGGTGAAAACAGTAAGGTGGGGATCGGTTGGGCGTGACCTGTCCGCCGCCGACAAAAACTAGTCGCCGCCTGAATCGCTTCTTAAAATGAACAGACTATAGTAGATGGATCAAAAAGCATGTCCAACATATCCTCTTCCAGTGTTCCTGTCATTATATTCTATAATAATTCTCAAGGTACTTTTGTTGCCAGTCCCACTCGTGGTTTTTGACCAAAAGGTGCTTCATACGGAGTCATCTTTAAAGGTTCGTGGTATGTGGTATTAACGTTAGCCCCATTGTACAAAGGCGAGGCCGTAACTCCACGCGGCAGTTTTGTTGTCTCGTATCCACGCCACCAGTGAATCCTTCAGCGTACAATTACCTCTTTCTACAGATTCTTGGCCTTGTGGATAACGTGGCCGACCGTTTACAAGTATTAAATCGGGCCATAATGACGCTAATTCTGTTATAATACCGGCAGTAAATTCGCGACCATTATCAGACTGCAGAACATGAGGGGCACCAAACGTCAAAAATATGTGTAGCAGTTCTTTCGCTACTTCTGAAGCCTTTTTACACTTCAGAGGCCAGAAAAATGAAAACTTTGTTAAGTTTTCTTTGTAATGAAGAATAAATTTAAAATCTCAATCGGGTAAACTTTGAAAGTCAACAAGGTCCACTTGCCCACGTTCATTTAAAGAAGAAGATAAAATAGGCCGCACAACAACCCCTCGCGTACTTTTTTTTTTGATTTTTCCACACACCTTTCACAATTAGCGATATAAGTTTTTACATCAGCCATAGTAATATTGGAGTAATGCTCCATTATTTTTTTGTGTGTTTTTGTCTCACCTTTATGTCCACTGGCCACTAACTATGGAAAATGTCGACTACTGCCATAATACGTTGATCAATGTATCCTTGTGCTATCTATACGCACTGCATGGCGCTTCGGTTAAACCTTGTTGTAGTGGACATGTGTAAAAATATAAAGGTGAAAATAATTTGATAAAAAATTATAATGTATTATTATGTTGAAATCAAAAATATTTATTTTAGAGTGCTCGTGTACTACATTCAATGTATTAGAAGCAATATATGTACACTTTTCACGACCCTCAAACAACAAAAAGTTATGTGATATTCAAATGCAATTGGGCTTAAAGAAAGGAACTGTACTAAGAATCTGTGACACTAGATGGGTGTGCAGTTATAACAATTTTGAAGCTATGTTATTAAACTTTAAAAGTATTATTGAATTTCTTACAATTGAAGTTGATGAAAATAATGACAAATATGCTGCTCAAGCATTAGGTAATGCTATAAAATACCTTTTTTTAAAACATTAAAATTTAACTTTCCACTATGTTATATGTTTTTCAGGTATATTAACTTTAATTCAAAAACCAGAATTTTTAATTTTAATTACTATTTTAAAAACTGTTTTGGGTATTATAAATGTCTTGAGCAACAAACTGCAAAGTAAATCTGCTACTCTTGGAAACTCTTCTAATGTTGTTCAAAGTGTTATCACTACTTTTGAAAATATGAGATCTAACAGTGAATTTACAGAAATATGGCAGACAATTACAAAATTAGCAAATTAAAATAATGTTGAATTATCCACATGTATGTTTTGAGAAGAATATCATGGTTAAAATCTGTTTTATTAAAAATTACTGTTTATATTCCTTTTACAAGGTTACAAACGTAAACGTAAAGAGCCTAATGCCTAATACTTATGCAATTCTATATCCCCCCCCCCAAAAAAAATTGACCCTAGTCGCACACACAAACCGCGTGTTGTGCCCGCCTGGCCAAAACCACCGTAATCTGCCGTTATCGCTCATCCGGTGTGTGCGCATAGCGATCCGCCGTGTTCGTCCCGTGACCATCGGCTGTTTTAGTCCAAGTCAACGTTGTGGTGTATTGCCGCAGCCCGGTCAACGTCCATTTACCCATTATCGTCGTGCCGGGACAGCGGCAGCAGGTCCGTTACATTAGCACCACCATATTCAATATTCCCAAAAAAAATATATACCAACGATTGTTATTTCAGTTGTACACATTTGTAATTCTTATATAAACATTTGTACACCTCCCAAAATGCCCCAAAAAAACAAATTTCAGCGGTGGTTCTAATGTAACGTTACACCAGCACCCCACTTTTTGTACATTCGACTTAGGCGCTCCAAAATGGTACCAACGATTGTTATTTCATTTGTACATATTATGGTTGTCAATATTATGAATTTTAACCAATAATTAATAAATAGTTGTTTAGTAACTAACATTCCCTTTTATTTAACTTCATAAGTTATTCAATATAATATATATTTAAAATTCAAAATTTTAATAAAGTAATGAAACAGTGACATTATTTTTTTTTAATTACCTATTAATGAATGTTTACAATTTGAAAATGCATTTATTTTATAAATAGTTTTGTACTTAAATAATTATAAAGTATAAACTAAAAATTCTACATCTGTTTTAACTGATGTTTTTGTCGGTTTGACTTTGAGCTACGTGTCATCGTATGTTTCGGAAACATTGTTTCCCATTGACCATTTTCTCTTAGTTCGCTAGCCGTGTAATGTCCAGTAGTAGAGCGAAGACCACTTCTTTCTACACCGAAAAAATTTATTACACCTCTAAGATGGTATATTTCGTTATTTACCACTAACAACTTTTCAATATCATCTAATTTGATTAGATTTGATCGTGCGAAGTTTTGTTTTATCAAATCCATTTGTACATATTCAATGTTTCCTGTACTCGTTGATGCTTCTAATCCTACAAAAAAAAAAAAAAAGATATCATAAGTTATTTTATTTTATGGCTATACCTAACATAATAAATAATATTATTTACTTAAAGGTACATAATTGATTTCAATTAATATGTGTGTGGTTGGTCTCGGCTTTGAATTTCTCAAACTTCCACAGTATGTACATTCTTTTTCATTGCATTTAGTGTTATCATCCAGTTCATTCTGGATTGAATACTCTTCATTGTATTTATTTACAGAAAGCTTTATTGAGTTGTATTCATATCGTTGGTTAGAGCAAATATTATTAGTACATTCACTTGTTATAAATGATGACATGTCTGCCATTATTTTATCAACTATAGATGCCACAGTGGCCGTTATATTTATTGTTTTTAGGCCACCAATTAAACATTCTACTTTATCTGAAAAAAACTATAACAATAATAGTAAACGGTTATGATATATTTTTTTATTATCACTTTCACAGGACATTTTTTTAATAATTGTAGCAGTCAAATTGGTTGTTGGTACACTTTGAACATAATTTCTAAATTCTAAACTGTCAGCAGCTGATGAAGCTAAAATTGATAAAATAAAATCCACAGAGCACGTGTTATTCAAAATCATTTTCCCAAAATTAGTTACATAAATGGGTCGCATCATACTATTTCCATTTTTAAAAATAAATATGGGTTTTATGAACGCTTTCCTGTTAAAATCAATCAATTTAAACTTGGTTGTGGACTTATGTATGAATGAGCTGATCTTAGTTTTTTTGTTGCTTGTCCTTTTTTATTCCATCCTTCACATGCAACTTTTTCATCATTCATAGATTTTTTTATCACAATCGACACATATTCTTTTTTCTCCACATCTTTCTTTTGTTCCTGGGATCGAAGATGAACATCCAAATAACATGTGAACTGACTTTTTACAACATATATATTTATGCAGTCCCGTTGGGTAGTTCTCATTTATACAAGTGTCACAATGTACTTGATTTGAAACAGTTTTATTGTGTTTAGTTCTCTTAACGATTTGAACGATTTCATCATTCACTTTTCTGAGTATATATTTTCCATTCAGTTTATCTTCTGCACTCTGTGTATTCTCTTCTCTCGTGTCAACTTCTTCACTTGATTTATCTTCGTCACTGTGTTTATATTTTTCGTAATTTTCATCTTCCAATATTAATCTACCATTAGTTCCTTCCAATTCATCATTATCTTCTCTCGTGTCAACTTCTTCGCTCGATTTATCTTCGTCACTGTGTTTATATTTTTCGTAATTCTCATCTTCCAATATTAATCTACCACTAGTTTCTTCCAATTCATCAATAAATGTTTCATATACGTTCGTTTTATCTATAGGTATATATTCCGACGAAGGTCTATTTTGACATTCTATGTTTTCTGCTTGAACCAATAAGTGATCGCCTCTATAGTAGGATATTAGTTTCTCCAAATATGTGTCAATCCTTAGAGGCAAATTTTCATTATTAAAAACTCGATTTTTAATATGATTGAAATTACATTAGATTCTACTGCTAGACGCAGTTTCTGAGCCGAACCCAAACTTTTCCCGCATTATATTCATAGCTTTGCAATACATGGCTCTAGAGTTGGTAAGTACTGTGCATTATCTACGACACCAATTACGTTTTCCACTTTTTCTCTGGCTTCATCAGCTATTTTTTGGGCCCAATGTTTAAAATTGGCCATAGGTGTATATAACTCATTGTCGTCTAAATGAATGTTTTGTTCAGGGTTTTGGAGCTCTGTATTTGATTGTTCTAAAATGTCTAATTGATTCTTGTTTCATGATATTAATTTGGCCAGATACATTTTCTGTTCAGCACAAGGTGTTCTTCTTAACTCATTACATTCAGTGTGGTCTCTGTCAGATGCCAAAACTTCTCCATCATATTTACTGAGAATAATTATAAAAATTGCTTCTAAAATGTGTTCTGCTTCATCAATGGATGTACTAAGAACAAGAAGACCCATCCCACGGATAATTAATTCTTTAGTACGATTAATTTTCGAACTTTTAACTTCATTCCAGGACGAAAGTAAATGTATGAAATGGTTAACGTCATTTCTTACATAACAGGTCGGTAAATCCACATCTTTTTTCAAAACAACCACTGTAAAACACACTTCAAGATACTTTTCAAGACTTTTATATTCTGTGAAAGCTTGTGCTAATGCCGACATAAGAGCAAGGGACTGGTTACATATGACTACTCTTGGAGCCTTAACGCCACACTTATCCATCTTTTCAACCATGTACTTATGGATATCGTGTCATGTTGTTCCGATAACATTGACATAACTGTAAAATTATTATTGCCAATATTCATGACTCCTTAATAAAGGAAAATTGGGCCACTACGTTTATTAATTCCTCTGGTTATTTTACGAACACACCCACTGGCGTTAAAATAAATCGTAGGTATTTGTTCCTTTTTACAATAATCTCGATAAATTTTTTATTGTAAATTGCTCCAAAAATGAACAAATGTTTTATCAGAGCCAATGTCATGAATAGTTGTGACGATCAGAGTTGGATGACCATTTGACTATAGTATTTGTACACATAGGCTGTAGTGATACAAATGTTGCGTGTGCGTGAGACAGCCGACTTTGTCCCGTGGGTCCAAGTCCGCCGATCGACGAAAACACACACGCTCCCCTCTTTCGTCTCCATGGTCTGGGCCACGCCGACTTATTACGTGTTTAAGGATACCGGCCGATTAATTTACGTCTCCACATGCTCTCGCTCTATCTTCCCACTCCCACTGTCTCTGTCACCCGTTATCTTTTTCGTGCGTTTGTGGCCGAATAAGCCGACGAACGACACTTCTTTTCCCTACGCCGGTGCAAGCACAATGCTGGAAGAGTAGTGCACCGCGGTCACCGTAGCGCCATGGGACGGCACTCATGACAGGAGCATGGTGGTTTGTATATTTGTATATTTGTATATTATTACCTATTTATCACCGTGGCCGGTATCCCTACTGATTTATTATTATTATTGCCATATTTGGCTGAATTATTATTATTATTATTATTGCTATATTTGGCTGGGATATGTTATTGTTCCTGTGTGTGTCATTTTTATTTATTTTGTCCTAGTTTTATGCCTTCGGCTTTCTCGGCGCCCACCTTTAAAAATAATATAATTATTTTTTTTCACCTACGTAGTGTGTTATGTTGATTCTTTATTATTACTGTTAGGATTTCCTCATTCCTATTCTTAACAAGTATAAAAATACCACGGTGCTCCGACCTTTTGTGGTCTCGGCTCGTGGTTGGCGACCTTACTCGACCACATGACTCTCGGGTCATGAGCAATATGACTCGAGTTGTCACATAGTATTTTTATACTCTGTCAGATACTTCATTTTGCTTAATGCTGTTAAAGGGTCGAAGTGAATTTGGGTAGCAGCTAATTGTAGTGATCCATCACTAACGCTTATATTTTGAGTTCAAAGACGTTGATGGTTGAGTAGGAGAAAAGTTTGCAGAGTGACAAGTTACAACGTTATAATTTATAATTAATTAATTTAAATGTTAATAATAATATAATGGTTTTACATTTGAATTTAGAAATTTGAGAACAGAGCGATAAGCACCTGCCCGAGAGATTAGTGGTTAATACTAAGTACTTACAAGTGTGTACGTCGTACTAGCACTGAGCTAATTCTAATTTAGGTATAGACGGAGACTCGTATATATATAAAGTCTCCCTTATCTATTAGGTACACGGTAGAGACTAGGAGGTGGATCAAAGGAATACCGGCGGTTTCGACGAATACCGAGGCAGGTGTTAAAGTTGTCGAATAATCCTTGAGTTTAAAACTAGTTTATTCGGCAATAAGTATATTAGAAATTGTTATGCGATTCTCGGCATTATTGAAAGTGCAAAACAACAAGGCGTTTTACGAAATAGATTAATAGTCTTGTTGTTGATCAATGTGTTATATCGTGAGAATGTACTTATGATATTTAATATATAGGAAAGCGACTCCATCGGTTTACTACACTCCTCACATTGAAGCTGGAAGTCCCTGACTTCCAAAAAAGTTTAATTGAAGTTAAAATTGCTTGTACTTGGATAGCTTATTGGGCTATTCCTAGGCGTAAGAGGATATTCGACTATGTCGACTGCTCTAGGTGCTGTGGCTAAGCTTTGATTTTCTTCATCTTGGACTGGTTCCTCTTCCGTGTTTGTTTTTTCGTAACATTGTAATTTTTTGTATTTTGATAAATATATAATTACAATTGCCATAAAAATGATACTTGTGATTACATAAAGTACGTAGTCGTTTACTTGTTGCGTACTTTTTAGTTCGTTGATTTTGTGATAAACCTTACGTTGTGTTTCCAGTTGTTTCTTTGAACCCAAAAGAAAATGGCAGAAAAACAAAAAAATATGTTATTATACATTTAGAAAGACTAGTTGAAACACGATGATCATATTGGTACACTTCACTCAAAAAGGTAAATATGAGGTATGACATTATTCTAGAAGTACTGAAGATTCTTACTAAGCAAGGTGATCAAACTGCTAAAGCATTAGGACTTTTACAAGAAGTTTCAACGTTCAGATTTATTATAATTTTACAAGTTATGGAAACAATTCTCATGAGAGTTTATAGTTTGTCTTGTGAACTTCAAAGTCCTACTTTAATCTTACCATCAGCAATGGAGTTGGTTAATTCAACAAAACAAATATTAATTAATATGAGTACTGATAATACATTTGAAGAACTTCAACAAAAAGCAGAATTGATTGCAAAAAAAAACTACATACAAATTGAAAAAGATCAGGTTGCTAAAAGAAGAAAAGAAACTTATAATACTCACTTCGATGATTACTTTATTGAATCAACTGTTGGAAAAAATAGCTCAAAACAAAAAGATTTGAAAAACATTAAAGCTGAGATTTTGTTTGAAGTTCTTGACAGGTTTCTATGCACTTATTATAAATACACTACTATTTACTGCTAAATTGTTTATATTTTTGAATTTTTCTTACCTTATCATGTAACATGCTTTAATTTTTATTTTGCAGATTTCTACTAACGCTTGATAGCCGATTTTCTGAGAAAAATCAAAAACTGTTTGCTATTTTTAAAATTTTTAATCCTTTAAGCAAAGAATATTTTGATCATACATCAAGTAGTTTGAAATATTTTTTGACGCATTATGCTTATTTTAAAATAAATACAATGAAAATTCCTTATGAGTTCCAATCAGCAAAAATATCATTAGAAAAAAAAAATGATACTGATATCACAACAATTACTAACTCATTGTCAAAACTTCCTTCAGCATTTTCTGAAACTCTTAAAGTACTTTCAATCATTTTAACGTTACCTTGTACTACTGCTTCTAATGAAAGAGTTTTTTCATCTTTAAAAAGAGTCAAAATCTTTTTGCGCTTAAGTATGAACGACGATAGATTAAATGATTTGATGGTGATTAACGTTGAATCAACTGAAGCAAATAGTATTGACTTACAAGAAGCTTTAATTATGTTTTCTAACATGAAGACACGGCGGTATCCTCTTGTATGAATTAATATTAAAAAATAAAAATAAACATGTAATTTTAATTCATTATAATCACCTATGCTTTAATTAATTTTCCTGATTTATTCTGTGCATATCTATTGTATTGCTTTATATTGTTCATTGTTTTTATTTAAATTTGACTGTTGAAGTTTCAATTTGGATTAAATTTAGACATTTATAGCTTTTGCACTGCTTACTGCTCGTATTAGGTATTTTTACTTTATTTTTATAATTATTATTATTATACTACTATAATATTAATAATGTAAAATATGTCAAGAAAAAAAATAAATAGTGGCCTGCTCAATATTTATGCGTACCAAAAAAAAAAATTGAAATAACGCCCCTGATAGTAACAAAAAAAACAGACTAACCAAAAGTCATTTCATCATCTGATTCACATACAGGTTGTTTTTTTTCGTGGCCATAAATATTAGCTGCAGTCATACAGTTCCGCATTTGTACATTAGGAGCAAACTTTAAACAACATCCTGATCGCCTTACTGTTTGATCAGCTAATAAGATGCCATTTAAAGTGTCAGTAATTAGCCGATTCCTGGTTTTTGTTTTAACCGAATTTACTTTGCTAAATTTCCTTTCGCAGTCTGCATTAGCATGTGGAATGGACATAGCTGATAATGCAAATTTAGGAAGAACTGAAAACATCTTTTCATCATTTTCATCTGTATAATGATAAAGCTAAAACAAATAAACAAATATGCTTAAATAATTAATTGTATAATTACATAATTTTTATATTACTTTATGCCAAAATTTATCTGGTTCAGCTGTTTTAGTTATTTCAGCTGGAATACAATCAATGAAGTTAGGCAGACGTCTACATTCATCATCTAATTTTTGAAGATTTGAATCGCTAAAATCTGTGCATCTAAGCAGTAATGTAACCAGTGGCATAAGTGAAGGTGTAGTATCTCTTTCGATTTGTGAGAGCGCTCTTATTGGGTCTAGTACAGGGAGACTAGATAAAATCGGATTGTTTAAGTCATACCTATCTTTTATTTCTTTACACGCTATCATTATGCAATTTTGACACCTTTGTTGAAAATCTATTAGATTAGGGTCTACTCCTACGGATAGTCTAGGTCTATCTAATTGTTTCATAACTCTGATACCTAAATACATCTGTAAAAAAATAACAAAAATAAAACTTTATGTGATAAAAATAAAATTTAATAAATACATTTCATTTACAAACCTGTTTTAATGTAAGAAAATGATTTTTTTCTAATGGATTTATATCTCCTAATTCAGTTTTACATACATAATCTCTAGTCATGTAAATTAGTAACAAATCTTTAAAGGCCGTTGACATTTTTTTAGTAAATAAATAACCACGACTTTAGATGATTGGAAATATTCATTCATTTCAGTGAATTTTGGTAGAATCCATAGAAGAAACAAGTTGTAAGCTTTAAGGTAACAATCATTTAATCCTAGATGTATATGCTCAGCTGCTCTCAAATGCTCACTAAGCCATTTATCATCAAAGAAAAGCCTTAATGCATCCCACTGCTCCACAATGCGTTCAACAACAGCAATAAGAGAAAGCCAACGAGTTTGACTAGGATGCAATATTTTGTGGACATCAAGATCAAGAAATTTTTGAAATTGGGCTAGTTGTTCTTGTCTTTTAGAACTGCTTTTCATAAAGTTATGAATGTCACGAGCAAGGTCTTCAGTCTTCCGAGGTAACTGTTTACAAGCTTCACTTGCACATAAGTGCAAGGAGTGGCAAATACATTTCATTATAAAAATATTTGGACATACAATTATAAATCGTGAGGCTACAGAGTTATGTTTACCCATCATGGTACTACAACCATCAGATCCAAAACCAACAATATTTTCTATATTAATATTTCTTTTCTGGAATGTTTGAATTACCACATTAAACAAACGTTCAGCAGTAGCCCCTTCTTCGGCTCCTTGAGCATCATGTTGACTAAAAATTTGGCAAAGTTCCCAGAAATTACTAACAATGCCACAGCTTTCTTCATCATAAAACCGAACCATTATACAAGCAGTTTTTACACTGGAAATGTCTGTGGATTCGTCCATTAGAATAGAACATTTAGTACATTGAATATTTTTAGTAAGATTTTATTTTTCGTGGACACCAATAACATTTTTGATGACACACTTTGTTTTTGTACGCTTTAACGAAAGTGCTTGGGCTATTTTAGAATCCGGGAAGCAACGGGCCAAAACTGGAGTTAGATGATCCATACCGGCAAAAGGCATATCGTGAGCTGCTACATAACTGGATAATAGTAACTCTGCATCTTTTACTTTGTCACTCAAGGGATCCACTCGCGATTTATCTATAAACATTTGTAAGGAGTTTTGACTTTTGGGTTTCACATTACTCATCATAAGTTTATGCTTAGATCCATTTGCATGATTTTTTTATAACTGACATATCAGCTCTAAAATCTTTATTGCACATTGAACATTTAGCTCGAAATACATCATTACTAACTGGTTTTAGCCAATATTTATATTGTGAGTTTAAGCACCATTCATCTCTAAACTTTTGATCACGATGACAATGCATCTCCAATTTCAGTGCATCACCACCTCGTTGCAATCTTTTCTTCTTTGGAGTCAAATTTGAAGTTTCTGCATTCATAGGACTGTCTTCGTCGCTGGTTAATCCCATAGTCAGTAAGTTAAATTAATAAAATAATAATAAACTTTAATAAATTTTAATTTAACTTTTTTACTAAAACAAAAATAACAAAACAATAAGCATAACAATAAGTATGGTGAGCCAAAACACGACGACGCTCCTCAACCTTAAATTTGTGATATTGTGTTCTATGCTGAATTAACCATAGAGCTATAAGCTAACCTAGTTAATAGGTCTATGGAGTATGGAGTATGGATTATGGAACATGGATTAAGATAGATTTTATCTTAAACCGTGTTTACGGAATTAATATTTGAATTTTTTATATCAAGGTTTAATAATATATTTAAGTATGCGGTATCATTTGGTAACTGTGGTAACAGTGATTATTTTCCACTACGAAATATTATATATATCAGCTGTGGATCTAACATTGATAAATGATAGTGATAACGTGATTTTACAAACATGAAATGTACCACAGTTACCCGTAAGGTTATTATGTACTACTGTTGGGTAGAAATATTATACCGTATTTTGGTTCTCTGTGGGATAAAAAAAAAAAAAAAAAATAGCGAGTTAAATATACCGAGTTTAAATACCGAACGCCGATATTAAATCATTCATCTTAATTTTTTTGACTAAATCATATGGATTAGTATATAAAAATTCTTCAGATTTGTATAATACAATTAATTCATTTCGTAATCTAATAAAATCAAATATTTCTCCAAAATTTGATTCTTGCAAGTTTTCTAGAGCAGAATTTGGAAATTTGTTCGTGTAGTTTGAATATTTACTTGGGTCAATTAATGATAAAACTACAAATTTATTTAAAGAACCAAATCGCGCTTGCAAATTTGTAAATATGTTATCAAATATTTCATTAAAAAGTACTTTGTAAAATGTTTTCGGGTCACGAATTTTACGCTGTAGTTCAAAATCACCTTTATCTGATAAAACTGTTTCCGATAATTTTTCAAATAGATTTAACCTATAATTTTTCAGTTGACATTTAGTTTCTTCAATTTTTTTTCTTACAGTATAAAATATCTAAACGTTTAGTTTGTAATACTTCATATAAAATATCAGTCAAACTAAATATTTTACTAAATACTATTAGCAAAAAGTATGTTTGTCGACTATCTAAAAAGTTGATGAACCCTTGAGATAATACTATCGCTTCATTATCCCAATCATTAGAATTATCTAATACGTTTTGAAAAAACTCTATGAAATATGAATTGTATTCGTGAACTGTATTTACTAAGCGAGAAGAAAAATTCCGTCAAGTCGGCGCATTTTTTGGCATTTTTTTTCTTGTAAAATTATATAAAGCATGTGAACGTTTAAAAGATTTAGTAAAAAATGATCCCATAAAAGTTAGTGTTTGAAAAAAAATCTTACATTCTTTTATATTTGATGCTGATTGTGAAAGTACAAGATTTAATGAATGACTAAAACAATGGACAAATAATGCTTTTGGGTAGAGCTCCTTCACTTTAACTTGTAGTCCTCCAACATGACCACTCATAACGGCCGCTCCGTCATAAGTTTGAGCTACTAATTTATGTTTTAATTTATATCTATTAACTATATCAATTACGTGTTTCAATAAACCGTCTGCTGATCTATCAACACTAACAACAACAAATGAGATAAAGCGTTCATGTGCTTAACCGGTTTCATGATGGACATACCTTAAAGTTGTTGATAATTGAGACAGATTTGTTATGTCTGAAGTTTCATCTAATAATATTGCAACAAAATTAGTATTTTTTATTTCTGATTCAATGGACGTTGATATGATGTTGCTAACTGAGCAAATAAGATAATTTTGAATTCTATTGGATGTACCACGGAATATTTTTGATGTTTCTAAATGCACGTTTAAAATAGAATCATAAGATGATAATAAATTTAAACAACCAAGGAAATTTCCCAATTGAAAGAATTAACTCTTTCATTGTGACCACGAAATGGTAATTCGTGGATAGCCAAAAAACAAATACAATCAATAAAACGTTTTAAAACGTCTCAATTTTTTTTTACCAATTCATTATGGCGTATTACATCTGAACGTCTTTGTTCATCAAGCTGCAAATCAATTCTAGATTTTCCAGACATTTTTAATTTTAAAACAGAAGAAATATGTGTTTGAGATCGTTCATGTTTTTGAATACCATTTGTTAAATTATTTAAATTAACAAAACCACTATGAGACCAAACATTTTTTTCCCTGGTAAATAAAACACAAGGCCAACAGAAATGAATACGCCCGGAAATGGGGGCACAGACGGAAGGACCACTCGGTGCGAACTGAGAGAGAAAGACCAAAGTTTGAGAACCGTCAGAGAACGCCTACTACTGTTCTGAGTAGGCAACCCAATCTACGCCTAACCAAAGCGACGTACGTTAGGCACTCAATTTCACGACGACGAAATCTATGACGTGGACGGGAGGTAGTACATGGGAGTTAGGAAGTACAGTTTAGTTATCGAGGGGGGTCTCTGTGGTCGAATCGGTTTGGTGCAATGACCACAGAGCTCACACAGATCAGGGACTTAACACTAGCTTAAAATTAAGGCAGACTGATGTATAATGGTAGTCCCTCTGAGGAGTGACCCGACACACTGGACGACCTGGGCGGCCTCTCACACAACGTATTTGTTAACTATTATAGGCGGACTTACGCAAAACAACTCTCTGGAGACAGATCTGGACGACCGTGACGGCCTCACACAACACTCGGTTGAATGGCTGGACGCAAAACATATGGCACCAAATCCGATGTCAGACAATTTCCAGCAACCAGACGAATGTTAATAATTAATTTAGAATAACTCACGAATATTGCTGGTAACGATGGATATTTATTTTTGACACAAAGTTGCGTTGTCCGTTACAATAACGGACTGACGATATAAAAAACAATAATTGTTGGATCACAATGATCCGGCGACTCTCTGGTAACACTAATAATAATAATAATTTTAATACAGACTATGCGCTCAATGCGACTTAAAAATACAACAGAACGACGAACAGCCACCGCTGCAATAGCGGGACAAGAAAACAGAATATTTTACGTACAACAACAATAATACGAAAAAAACACAACAAGGGCGTTGGCCGAAGACGTAAACAATAACAAAGAACAGATAATATTGATATGTGAAAATGATAATAATATTGTCCAAAAGTTGGCCAATACTTATTTACACAAAACGAGAAAACAAAGATAATAAATATACATAATATTTCGAATAATTTAGATAATTTAAGGACGGAGTGGTGTTTGGACGAGAAGGAAGATGTCGCCGTCGCGCAGAGTCGTCTTCCGCGATAAGCTAATTGCTTATTGCGCGAACAGAAAAGTTTATTTAATTTTGCACTACCAGTCAACCATAGAGTATTTAAATAATTAGAAATATTAAAATGACGAATGTAAACTTTGTTTTTTTGTTTGTGATTAGATGTCAATTTTGGAATTTCTGGACATGGTCGACCATTTTTTACAATTGTTAATTTTTCATCAAAATTTTTTAAATGAAATTCATTTTCCAAAAGATGATCGACTAAGCAATTGTTTGAATCAGTATTCATTGTCTATAAAAACAAATATAAACAAGGCGAATATAATTTGGTCCTCTAATTATAATATTTTTATTTATTTAAATAATAATTATCTATACCAATTCTATAAAATTATGCAATAGGAATTTAATACACTTACATTAACAATTTTTGTTCAACACCAAATTAACTATGAAGACTTGTGGACACGTTGACGGTTGAAGACAAAATAATATATTTATTATTAGTATAGTATAGTATAATATAGTATAGTTACAACTTATAATAAGTATATTGATAACAAAAATAATCCGATTTGCATCGTATGAATATTGGAATTCCGTTTTTAAAAATATCGATAAGCGCTCGGCATAGCGCTTTCAACCATCACGTAAAAACGCGTATATCCCCTTCTACCACAACTGGTCATTCCTATAAATAACGATATGGAAAGGCAATCTAAAATACTAGCGCTTCTGTAGAGAAATTGCCTATACGAAAAAAAAAATTTAATTTCTTTCAAAATCTGATAAATTTTTTTTAAATTGAACACAAAAATAAGAATTAATAAATATTTGTAATTTTAATGTAAACAAATTGTCATTTAACATCCGAAATATTAATCTCTTTATTTTTTCCTTTTTGGCTTGGCATGCGCCGCTTACCTAGCTTGTCCTGACCGCACGCCACTGGAATGGACTGATATCGAGTACATTACATTCAGCGCCATCTATGGAGAAATAATCGCAACAATTTTATTTCTATGAACTTAATAATTTTATTAAAACAACTTAACAACTAATAAGTTAAAACTTAAAACTGAAAATGCTCTAAAAATCTAATATACAAATATTACAAACCACAAATTGGCATCTTACAAGTACGACTATACATTATTGAGTGTTTACTAGTTTTGACCATTTTTTTTTCCTTGCGTTGACTTTATTCGGATCTGTGTTTGAAATTACTAAATACTGTCGCATTCTCACTGTTATATAATGAGCTATAATGTATGTAAGAACTTTATTCTTGTGATCTTTACATTGAAAATGAAGAACAGTATTGGTAGAATTAAATAAATCATCAATGGTCAGTAAAAAAACATCTGGATTATCATTGTACTTAGACAATGATTGTTCTACAGAAGATAGTAGGTTAAATATAAAATGATTTGGATGAGTAAGTGCACCTCTTGATTTCAAATTAACCAAAGCAAGTTCTGGTCAATTACAATAATTTTGTTCACTTAGGTATGAATTAATTTTAGTTTATTACTGAGTAAATTATAATGTACAAAATTCACAAATGTAATATATTACACAGTCTTCGAATTTTGTTTTATAATAATTGTGAATATTATTGTCAAATATATCATTTATTTCTGTATCTACTTGACTACTTCTATCATTGAATCAATTCAAACATTTACGAGTCATGTGTCCTTTCAAACGTAACAAAACAATTAGTGGTTTTAACTAAAATACCGATATTTATTATTTAAACATTTTATAAAAATGCATTGGCGAGAACCACTTTTTACTTTTCTATCGTATATTATTATCACTAGATAGCGTTGAACATAGTGTACTTGTGATGGATGTGCAGTGTAGCGGGGCAGAAACATTTGGGGATCAGACCCCACCACCTCGCCGTCCCTACCGTTACCAGTACATTCTATCTTAGTCCGTGGTTTCCACTAGCGGCATGTCTTCTTGGAATTTGAGGTTTTGCTCTTTATTTGGCCTGTATTAGAATAATATTATTATAAAGTAGTACCTAGGTTACTGTAATGATTACTTGATGTGTTACGTATGCATAATTATTTATTTATTATAATCAACGCCAGGCGGCTTTTACAAAATTATACAAACAAGAAAACATAGATAAAAGATAAAGACATATTATAGCAACTTATAAGATTTTTTACATATACTTACTTAAAATTTTAATAATCTGATTAACTTAAATGACGTGTGCAAAAAAAAAGAAAAAAGAGAAAAGGAAAAAAAACAAAAGTTGTGTAAATAATATTAAAACAATAAATAGGCATTTTTTTTTTATATGTGAGCCTCCGTACTAAATATCGTTTAATAATCTATATTATTATTTGCTTTATGCATCATTCTTAAAAGTTGGGCATTCCTGGAAAAGTTAGATTTATTTTTGGGTATATAAAAATTAGACTGAAGCCTAGTATTACTAGGAATACGAAAACTAAGTTCTCCAAGAAGCCTTGGGGCATCAACTCGACCTTCGATCAGACCCTGAATAAAAGTGATACCAAAATTATCACGCCTAACCGAAAGAGAATCAAGTCTCAGTCACTTATTGGCCCATAATCATGTGGAGGATGGGGGATGTTGATGCAATGACCGGCGAAACGCATAAAACTATTTTAAACACGGTAAATCCGACAAATATCAACTGCGGTATATGGTGACCAAACAATAGACCCATATTCAATAACCCAACGGACTAATGAATAATAGAGAGCCGGAAGGAAATCGGATGAGTGACGACTTATAAATCCCAAAACACGGAAAGCTTTTCTGGTCATATAATCACTATGAGGTCTAAATTAAGGGAAGATACAAACAAAATGCCTAAATCATGTACCTGGCTAACACGTTTATACCTCCTAGGCTATAATCAAAAAATATCATTAACTTAGAGCTATGAAAAGTCATAAATTAACATTTTGATATGTTAAGAGATAAATTAAACGTTAATAAACGGTTTTATTACACCAATAAATGAATTTATCAAGGGTTTTTTGGAGATTGATGCAATCATTATTTGAGGTTATTGTGTGAAAGATTTTAGAACCATCGGCCAAAAGTAGAAGACGATAAGGGGGAACAGTTGAACACATGGTGTTGATGAAAATATTAAATAATAGGGGACCTAAATGACTATCTTGTGGAACTCCGGACGATGCTCGGAAGAGCTCAGATGACTTACCAAAAAGGTTGACAAATTGTCGACGCTCACTAAGGTAGGAACTAAACCATAATAAAAGTGGCTCTCCAACACCAAGCCTGTCAAGGATATAAAGAAGTGCATTGTGGTCAATAGAGTCGAACGCTTTTGAAAAGTCTGTGTATATCACATCAACTTGATTACCGCGTAATCAAACGCCTCGTGAAGGTAAGATACAAAGTCTACATGACTGGTCGGCGTCGAACCAGGAAAGAACAAATGTTGATCAATTGATAAAGTGGTTAAGAAAGAGCGCTCGATTCGTTTGAGTACTATAAACTCAAAAAATTTACCTAGGAGAGGTAGGCCGGAGATGGGTCTATAGTTAGCAACACCAGCAGAATTGCCAGACCTTAACATTGGCGTAACTCGACTTATTTTCCACACAGAAGAGAAAACTCCCTCTAAAAGTGATTGATTAAAAATTAAAGTAACCGGTAAGCTGAGAGAGGCATAGCAGTGGTACAATAGAATGGCAGAAATGCCATCCGGGCCAGAACAGTTTGATAGGGAGTTAAGAGCCACATTAAAATCATCAATCGATATGGATAAATTAGAAAGAAGGAATGAAAACTGATGGTTTGTAAACTCATCGGATAAATCATTGGAAGTAAACCGCGGGACACCATATACAGATGAGAAGTGAGAGGCAAACAGAAAGGCAACTTGATCACTTGAGACCTTAGACTCCCTAAGATGAACCTCATCTGGTATTGTAGATACCACGTTTACTTCGAATGAATTCCCAAAAATGATTTAGGATCTACACACAAACGCTCCTGCATGTTACGCAAATAGTTATTATAGAAACGTTTAGATTCAAATTTACATTAAGCTCGCAGTCTAGAGAAGATTAAGTAACGATTATGACCACCTAACATTTTACATTATTTATGCGATTGTTTTTTCATAGCAAGAAGTTCCTTTAGCCTCCTTCATCCTTGAGACATATTGGAAAGGTCGAATTTCGAAAGTTACGTAATGGAACGCATTTGCGAATAAGGACAAGCAGTGATTTCTGTAAGAAATTAGCAGAATGATCTGCCGATCCTGAACCAATAGCGTTATACCAATCAATACTCTCTAATTTATCAATACTATTCTCATAGTTGGCATTTTTAAAATCGTAATACGTGTGTTTAATGTCAAGCATTGGAAGTGTTGAAGGAAAGGGACAGGAGATGGACAGGGAAGGGTGGTAAATGTTACATAGAACTAAAATGTCAGTAGCCAGCAGGACTTGGGTAGATTCGTTGTTTGTGAAAATTAAGTCAAGAAGAGACCCAGTGTTATTGAGAATTTGGTTCGTTTGGACGAAGTGAAGAAGACTGAACTGATCAGTTATACTACCAGTATAGACAACACCCGAAATGTATGGTGAATAGTGTATTGCAGGAACATAACAGAACAGGAACCGTGTTAGTGTTAAGCGTCAACGTTGATTAAATTATGCTAAAGATAACCTAGGTCTAGTTAATATTTTTCTACCAGTGGCGCCGAACACTGGTCTCAACTGGGGAAAATTCCCTAGAACTATTTATTAGTGGGTTTGTAATAATAAGTGATCAGTCATTAGTGGTATTTAATAAATATTCAAACATCATCATAATATTTAAAAATAATGGTAAGTGTTAAGAAAAGGCAATAAAAGTATGATTATGGCAGGTCGACAGGCATTATATCACGATTATAATGCACATTTTAGGGTTCCGTTGCAAAAAACGGACCTCTTATAGATTCTTCATGTCTGTCTGTCTTTCTGTCCGTCATGGTGTCACAGCCACTTTTCCCCGAAACTATGAGAGCTATACTGTTGAAACTTGGTAAGTAGATGTATTCTATGAACCGCTTTAAGATTTTCACACAAAAATAAATACATTTTTGGGGTTGCCCATACTTAGAACTGAAACTCAAAATTTATTTTCATCCAACCCATGCGTATGGAGTATCTACTATCTATGGATAGGTCTTCAAAAATGATATTGAGATTTCTTATATTATTTTTTTTTTTTTTAAACTGAATAGGTTGCGAGAGAGACACTTCCAAAGTGGTAAAATGTGTGTCCCCCCCCCCCCCCCCCCCTATAACTTCTAAAATAAGATAATGATAAATCTAAAAAAATATATGATGTACATTACCATGCAAACTATTTTAATAATAATTATTATTATTGTACACAAATAATGAATTTTGTTGTTGGGTACGTCGTTATCGGCGCCGAGAGCAAGACGATGTGAGAACTAACAACGGTACCCCGCGCGGCCACCAGTTTCCCTGATCTGTGTGCTTGCGTGTTGCACCGCGCGTAATCGTTACAGCTGTTGTACGCGCCGTCGACAGCGCGTATTATACTGTAGTGTTGCCAGATGGTACGATCTTTTGAGCCTCGATACGATCCCACACCAGAATCAATGAAAGAGTGAGAAATATACGATCTTTCAAAGAATTCAAAAGTAAACAATGACAGGACGAATGTACCTATTTATAGATATTTTTAATATTTTTCTTGTTCGATCTTTCATCTTTCACCTAATGTGATTATTTGACAAGTCGAATAGATATCATCGCTGTTTTTTTTTTTTTTTTTATTTAAGGTTTACAGGCTTCAACTACAAAGGTTATTAGCCAACATTTTTGTTTAAGTTTAACAAAAAAAAAAAAAAAAAAAATAGAAAAGTAAATTACAATATTAAAAATTACAATATCATCGCTGTTCTCGTGTGTGAGTTAGATAGTATAAATATTATATTTTATCAACTTGTGAACAGTGAAAATGAAAACGATCCACCGAGAGCAAGAACGCCTGAAAGTGTCAAACGTCGGAGAGGGGAAAGTAGCATAAAATCCAAACATAAAAATCAAAAATTCAGAAGTGAGTGGTTACAAGATTCAGCATATCGTAATTGGTTGATCCCGGTGCTCAATAAATAAAGAGCTAAAATAAAAAAACATGCTACAACCAAAATGCACACTCGTAACGCGTGTTCCACTGGGAGTCAGCAACCTCTCATGAAAGAATTTGTAAACAACCAAGAAAAGTTAAAAGAACAAGAGAAAATTAAGAAAGCCGAATTACTGTTATGTGGCGTCTTAAGTGAGCACAACTTATCTTTTAATGTAATAGACCACATATAACTGCAGTATGTAAGGTAGCTTTTGAAGATTCAAAAATTGCAAATGGTATTAATCTTGGTTATACTAAAGCTACATCGATTGTAAAAAATGTTATTGGAAAAAGTCACAGTGAGGAAATAGCCAACATTCTAAAATCTACCTATTTTAGTGTCATCATTGATGAAAGTACAGATGTTGGCCGTTGGGTCTACAAAAACACTGTGTATATTTGTGAAATATTTTGATGTTACTAATGATAAGTTTCAAACCAAATTTTTCAAACTTATTCAGCTGATTAATTATCCAAAAAGTGCAAATGAAGGTGCAACTGCTGAGAAGATATTTGATGAACTAATAAAAGCTTTTAATAAATCAGAAATTCCATTGGATAACATCATTGGTAAGTTAACAATGAAAATATTTTTATATAATTAAATATACTTATGAGACTGAAAATTAGAATTTGTATTTATTTAAACGTATTGAAATAAATATCTTATAATTTTGTTATAAAATTAAAAATAAATAATTTATATAACTTATTTAACATGTATTTGTTTTTTTTTTTTAGGATTTGCATCTGATGGTTGCAACTCTATGATGGGTGTATGGAATTCAGTTTCTTCAAGCTTTAAAGAACATATGCCAGGTAAATAATTTATATGTATATTGTTTATAATACATACATGCATTATGTATATAATATGTGTTATACGTAATATGTATGTATTTATAGTATGCCCCTTACGAATATATGATACATAAGTTTACATATTTGTTTTATCATTTAAATAAATATAGGTGTGCACATACAGAAATGCATATGTCATTCCTTGCACCTATGTTCGAGTGCAGCTTGCAAAACATCACCCAGGGCAAGCGAAGACTTGGCTCGAGATATCTTCAACTACTTTAAGTCTAGAAGTAAAAGAATAAGTCAGTTCAGAGAATTTCAAGATTTTTGCAATGTTTCACCTCATCAAATTTTACGACCGTCTCAAACGCGTTGGTTATCGTTGTCTATGGTGGTAAATAGAATTGTTGAACAGTATAATCATTTAAAACTTTATTTTTCTGCTAACTGGCAAATAGATAGGTTAAGATCGGCAGAAGACATTTTTAAATCATTACATGATCCTTCTATATTTATTTATTTGAAATTTCTACAATGGGTATTGCCAAAGTTTGTTAATCTAAATAAATTATATCAAAGTGATCGACCTGTTTTATGTACACCTTATAACGAAATGAGTGAATTGTACAAAGATTTACTATACTGTTATATGAGACCATGTAACGATCCAACTTCGATAATCCCTTCAAATAATGCATTTTTTTTACCTTTAAAAGATATATACTTGGGAGTTGAAGTTTTAAATTTATTAAATAAACCAGAAACAATTCAAAATGAAGTTATGGTAGAAGATATTAGAAAAAGATGCAGGGATTTTTTTATAACTAGTTGTTGTCAAATCAAAATGCGGTTTGACTTTGATAATCCAATACTCAAATCTTTAAATGATTTAAGCCCAAAAAAGTTTTTAGTAATAATCGCTCGAACTCATTCATATCATTTATTAAATTATTTCCTAGAGTACTTAATAAATATAATATTCAGGAAAATGATGATGGTTGGCGAAAATTTAATACTGTTGAATTAGAACCTGAATATATTATTAAACTTAAAGCACTTAATGTTGAAGAATTTTGAGTAAATATTAAAAAATTAGAAGATGAAAATGTTTACCCATTTCGTGTTTAATCTAATTTTGTTCTTACAGTTTTATCTTTACCACAATCAAACGTTTCTTGTGAACGTATGTTTTCCAAAATTAATTTAATTAAAACAAAACGACGTAATCGTTTACAAACACCTACATTGAATGGTCTTCTTATGGCTAGTCAATGTATGCAAGAAACTACTTTTTGTAAATTTGAACCATCTCAAAATATGTATAATTTAATGACAACTAGCAATTTATATGGTAATTTGAATAAAAACAATAATGATGATGGAGATGATGATGAGATAACTTGTTGAGGTCTGATTTTTAAAATGCTTGTTATGCATTGTTATAACTTATAAATAATGTTTTGTTTATTTGTTTTTTTTTGTTTTCGACTGATATTTAAAATTATAAATATTTTGTTGTTTATGTATATGATTCACTGAAGTTCTAAGTTATGAATATTTATTTTGTTTAATTTTTTTGTTTGTATTTACAAATATAATAATTTAATAATAATGTATTTATTTGTTTCATAATTATTTTATTTGAAAATAATTACACGGCTTATAGTTTTGTTATAATGTTATCACAGAGTACAGACTATAATATTATTGTTCTATGATTATAGTCTGTTATGTTATCTTGTTATAAAAATACAGATAAGGTTCATCTGTGGTTTATTATTATTATCACGGTCCAATATCATATCACACATTTTTATACAATCTTTTCGTTGAAAATACGATATTTTTGAAGCTCCTATACGACCTTCTTATTTTGAAATACTGGCAAAACTGGCGCCCGTGCCACTCCTACTTTTAAATCGTGGTTAGCGACAACGACTCGCGTAATGCTATGGACGGAAGGGAGCAAGCTCACAATATATTACCTCGTACAAGTATTGTTGATAATAACTAGAGCCCGGATTTATATGCATTTG